CCCCGCCCCGCCGGCGCAGCGGGCGGGGGGTGCGGTGCCAGCAGGCTGTGCCGTTGCGATCGCCTTTGGTTTTCGTACCGCGTCTCACGTCATCGCTTTCATCTTTTGTGTGGCTGCGTTCGTGCTTTGACATTCCGCTCCGAGAACTCGGCAGGGGATTGGAAAAACGAGCAAGTTTGATGCGAGCAGCACCTGGCTACCGACGGCCCCTCCCCGGCTTCTCCCGTTCAGGCCGATGGGCCCGATCCGCCCGGGGGACCCCCGGGGAACGTGTGGGTCCCTGCTCTGGCCCCGGCCCCGGGGGCCCTGGTGAACCCGGAGCCGGGCAGGCTGGGCTGGGCTGGGCTCGGCGGCGTGTCTGGGAGGCTCCGTCCCGGCAGAGCTGGCGGCTTCTGTCAGGTGTGCGGGAGATGTGTCTCCGTCCGCCCCGACGAGATACCTGTCCCTGTCCTCAAATACCTGGCTGCGGGCTGGACCCAGGGAGGTCGTTTAGCCATTGAGCCCATGTACCTTGACTAAACAGGGCTCCCTTCTTTTCCTTGGGGAAAAGACAGCTGGCACCATGGGATGTCCTGTACTGTGGTTAAGAGGGCAATGGGCAGCTCAGATTGCAGTTTGGGATCGCTTGGCTGGTTTGCGGTCGTTGAAGAGGAGCAGTCCTGAGGCCCGAGTGAGGCTCTGATGCAGGCTCCGAATACAACCCTTTTCTTGCAGAAGAGCCATTAAGCACTTTTTCACTGTGGCGTGTGAATACTGCGCAAACACGGACTGCGTTTGTAGATGTGTTCTAAGCATACTGTAAAGTTTGATAAAATACACTTGCGAATCGGAGGTGATACCTTTCTAACAGAAAATCAAAGATTAATAGCCTTCCATTCTAGGCAACTGGAACTTTGAAAAATAAAAGACTGAATATGGAAAAATGGCAATTTTTAAAATAAAGTTCTGGAAGTGGTTAATGGAACGCTGCTGCTTTAGATTAATAGAGAAGTCCAGGGATTTTTTTTTTGTAGGAGTAAATTGCATTCATGTGTGTCTTGAAAATTTAAACTCTGAGTTAAGAGGATGTAGTATCAAAGTGATTAATAACCGAAAGGTAGCACGCTAATTCGTGTGGAGGATTAAATGCTGGGAAACGAGCTCTAGTTCTGACTAGCTTGCTCTGCAACCTTAAGAATACTGGAGCATAGCTAACTTGAAAAGGAAATGTTAAAGCCTTTCTGCATATTACAGTTGCCACTGAGCTCTTCTAATAGTTGTGTGTTTAGTAGTTGTGTTTGGGGTTTTTTTTATATTTTTATATATATATATGAGATCTATGAAAGGAAGTGATAGTAAAAACACCCAAAATGCTGGTTAAATGTTTTTTGCTGTTCTTTGGTATAGTAATCCTAAAATTACTGCTTGTAAGAACAGCATAAAAGAGGCAGAGCTTTAAGTCTACTGTTTTATGAAAAAAAAATGAAATTTGATGTCTGTTTCTAACTTATCTGTTTCATTTCCGTCATTGGCAATGGAGAGCCGTTGCAAGAATTGCATTGATGCTACAAAGCACCATAAAGGACATGTCTTCAAAATCTTCTCTACAATAATAATAGTATTATAAAGGCAAATGGGTAGTAAAGCAAAAGTAAACATGATAAAAAGATAACTAATGTGTCAGAGCTAGGAATAATCAAAGGGAGACCTTGAGCCATAAGCAAAGTAACGGGTAAAAGGAAGTGCAAAGTTTCAGTAGGCAGTCGGATAGATTGAAATGCAATATAATATGGCACAAATGTAACTGTACTGTATATTCCAAGGTTTTACTTCATGAAGCTTGGAAACTGGGTTATTCTCCCTTTTTTTGGTTTTCCTTTTTATGGCATTAGTGAGTTCACTCTCAGTAGCCTTTGTGAAACTTTTGGACCTTGGGTGAAACTAAGATAAGATGTGAACAAGTTAGAAAAAAATTAGAAAACAACCTAAATCGTTAAGATAAGGTGATTTCCTTATGAAAATATCTAGCTAAAATATCTCTGCAGGGTGGAGGATATTTAGCATTAGTTCTTAACATTAAGAGGTCCTTAATGACGGAGAGAAACTTTTTCCAGTGCTGGCGACAGAAACCCAGCAGTGATGCGTATTTATAGTGTGCTGATCACTGGGGGATTTTGAGTCCTATGTAAAGGAATTCTTCTTTGGCTGATCATAGAGACTGTTTCAGTATTTCAAATTTGTAAGGCATTCCCATATAAAAGAAAAAGATTCTGGCTACTTGCTTCTTATAGTCAATTTACAGTCTCAGGAGGCTGAGGGCAATAAGAACCTTGTAGCTCTGCAGAAATTCCACTGAGATCCTGTCACTTCGTGTTTCAAAAACTTGGCTTATAAACTTTATGAAATAGTAAAATGTGTTTATACAGAGCTTGGCAAGCTCTTCGATAAAATGCTTGTAAAAAAAGTGGTTGTATTGCTTAGATCTCCCTGAATGGCTTGGGCATAAAAACAGTTTTTCAACAAAGTAACAGCTTAGTTTGGCTTTTTCTGCCTAGAGCGGAAGATCATTGGGGCATGTTTCTAGTGAGCTGATTGTTTTTTGGGTTGTTTTTTTTTTTTAATGAAAGTTAAATATTGTTGGGTTTTTTTTTTAAATAGGCAGTCAGGTTTGAACAATGTTTGTGTGACATTTGCATGCACTGCATGAGCGTATTTTTAAAGAGGTTGAGCACCCACAGCTTCCATTTACTTCAGTAGTGTTTGCGTGCTCTGATGAGGTCCAGTGGTATTACCTGCATTATGCATTTAGCTAAATTAGGCACTTGGGTTTACAAAACTTTCATTAATGTCTTTGTGGTCCAGAAGGGCTAGAAAATAGGGATCTTTATGTAAGCTGTCTAATGGTTTATTTCAGTGTACACAAAAACTGGACCAGTGGGTTTGAGGGGGGGAAACGGTAATATAAGCCTCATGACTGCAGCTCAGTTGTCAATGTTAAGTTTTTAGCTCTTTATGTAGCTGGAAAATCTGTTAGGATTTGTGTGTGTGTGCGTACTGCCACAAAACGTCATGTTGACTTTCGCTGGCATTTTTTTTGAACACTTGTTCACATTTGTCCAGTAAAACAAAGAACGAAATTTTTTCCAGTCGTGGTTAGGAAAGTTAGATTTTAGTTTCATGCCTTACCTCTCCTCGTTATGTTCCTTGCCACTTCTTTGATCACAGTTTGAGCCATGAGGTTGTGCTTAGTTGTTTCACTTCCTCTATCTCCTTATCACATGGGAGGCAATTTTTAGGATGAAGTGAGGGTTGGAAATTCTGTTTGTTGTATGTGCCTGAATTATTTCCCTTTGCTCTTCGGGAAAGATCAATCTATTGGTTCAGGCCACTACAAAGTATTTCTGTTCCTTCACCAGGATGTCAGCTCACCTGCAGGAGGATGTTTGGATGAGTCAGCAAGCTGAAAAGGTACCGCTGTTGGTTAGTCAGGAGCACTCAAGGAATAATGGGATGCACGAGTCAAGTAGAAAATAGGCCACTGTTCTTCGTTCCGCAGCAGCGACAGCAGATGTAACGCTTGCGAAAGCTGAAATCTTCATGTGAATAAAACCTTCCTAGTTATTGCTGCTTCTGCTTACCTTTAAACAAACAATCGAGCTGGCTGCTTTCTCTCACACTATGGCTATGTCATTTTCCTTTTACTCACTACCTGGGTTTGGGCAACAGAGGTTATTAAAATAAAATTACAAACAGCTTTGTTTTTTTCTTTTTAATCTGTGTGTTTCAAAACAGCTTTTAAAAAGCAGGTATGTGCTTTTTAGTCTTGTTACGGAGGGAATTACAGAAATACAGAGTGGTCAGCTTCCAAGACAATGGCAGCAGAAGAGCCAGGAGTTGTAGCCTGGGCAGCTCCCAGGCTCGCTGCCTGCTCAGGAACAGGCACTGCCTCTGCAGACCCTCCTGCCATGTTATTCTTTGGCAAGTATAAAAGGTTTAGCACTGCCCTGTACTGTACAATGTATCAGCTGAATGAAGCACGTAGATTTATATGCTAATATAGTAATATACTTTTTTTTAAAAAAGAAAGTCAGTATTTGTAACTTGTCAGATTACCTTGTTGTTAATGTATCTGTAACTTTCAAACAGGAGAATTGGTATAAAACAGGCTTCACCTTAGCTGCTGCCAAATATGGAATTCTCTTTTGGAAATTGGGCAACAGTGATGCGAGTCCAAAAACACCACCATAAAGTACAGGCATAGGAGAGGGGGGACAAATGAAATCATCTCCCCCCTGTTTTTGAATACTGTAAGCTTGTAATTAAAGAGGAATCTGTTTTCCTCCTTGGAGTGATATTGGTGTGCAGAAGCATTAATGTGAAGTTCTTAACGCAGATCTGATGTGCTTACAGCATCCGAGTCCACACAAGAGTCCAGTGGAAGTTAGGGGAAGGGCATGGGAAGAGAAAGGAAGGGGAAGCACATAGCCGAGCGTATAATCTAACCTAGAATGCTGGATGTCGTCCTGGCCATGTAACCTTTTGTTTGTTTTAGTTTTTTTATTTGATGAATCGTATTTGTTTGAAGCAGAAGTGGAAAAATATTGATTAAGAGAGAAAAAGTAGCGTGCTGTGAGGCATGGCTCTGGTGGAAAAACAGGCTTTCTCCCCGGGGCCACTTGCTGTGGTTGGGGTTTCTGCTAATATCGTTATGTTGTTCAGAGGTTGCATCTGCTCACCGTGTTGGTAGAAAACTTTAAGTGTAGAAGAGCCAAGGTAGTCTGCTTATTCTCTTAAATCCGTATTTGTATTGGAATACTTTGTGTACTCCCCATATTGTTCTTCTGCAGAACTTAAATTACTGAAGTCGTATAGCATGAGTGTGTCAGGAAGTGAAACTTGCACTCAGGTTGACTAACTGCTGCAAATGAACTACATTGGCGGTAAAATCACGGGGGGATTGGGCACATGTGTACTGCAGTTACATTTACTGTTAAGAGAGAGGCAACTCATTGATGTGGTGAGGATTATACTCTCTTGAATGTGAAACTGGAGTGTTATGTACCAATGCAAGTATGTATGTGTAAGACATTTGATAGTCTATAATGATTTATGTATTTACATCTCATTATTTCTTCTATTTGACATTATCTTCAATGTAAGTAAGTTGAGTTTTCAGATGTAGTTGCTGTTTACTAACGTAATCCTGTGACACGCTAAATCACAGCAATATTGACCCAAGGCAGAAAGCAATCTATTTGATTGTGATCAATTACCTTTCTCTGCAGCAAAATCTCTACCAATGATAGTATCTGAAAAGCTGTTTTTGCTCCTCATTTTCATATATTTTTTTTTTCTTGATGAAACTTATTATCTTGAGGAAGGTAGAGCGGCTGAAGGTGTATGGCTGAAGGTGTTCATGCCTCGCTATAATCTCTCAATAGCTAAGTAAACCTAAATACGAGATTTACCTGCGCATCCTGAAAATACTTGTTACCACTGAGTGTT